TTGCGGGTGGATTTGGTGATGGTCACAAATGATTTGATTGTTTGTGACCAATAATTTAGTCGGTTTGTGACCAATAAACAATTTGTGACCAATGAATTTGATAAATTGTGACCCGTACAAGGTGTGTGACCTAAGAATTACTAACTTGTGATCTAAAAATTATTAATATGTGACCAATAAATTGATGTCTGTGACCATAAATTACGTAACGTAACTTTTAAATTTTATTATTGTGACCGATAAAAAAATTGTGACTTTCAAATTTTTAAATTGTGACCGATAAACTAATTGTGATCTAAGAAAATTTTGAATTGTGACCTAAAAATTTTTGAATTGTAACCAAATTGTATAGATTTGTGATCTTAACATATTCGTCGGAATTGGAACAGTCGCTGGAAAAGTCATCGGAATATCTCCGGAGTTGTGGGGGTGGTGGAGGTGGGGGTGGATTAATTATTTTATAGTAGAATTAAATATTAATAATAAATTAATTTAATAATTATTATTTCATAATTAAATTATAAATAAATTTTAATGAAAACCTGATTTTTGAAATTTAAAACTTCAAACCTTAATTTTGAAATGGTGATACTTAAATACCTTATTTATGTATTGTTCCCATTTTAGAATGTCATTGTCTCCTTTTAAAATAAAATTTCTTAATTCTTATAATCATTTTCAATCACACTTTTATATAATAAAATACTTTTTACATAAATTCAAAAAAAAAAAAAATTACTTTTTAGTTATACATTCTTCAAAAAATCAACATTCAAAACTCAAAATTTTCAAAATAATAACAATCAAACAGGGGCTTATTTTATTTTGGATTTTTTTTTTTCAATTTCTATTTCTTCATGTAAGTAATCGTTCTGAAAGGGGCTATGCAAGGGTGTTTGATATTTAGGATACGGAGAATTAAGGTTTACACTTTAGTCTTAAATAGGCTTTCTTTGAAGTCGTACGTTGGCTTGGGTTCTTGATATGTACCTTGGTTCGATTATACTAGTTCATTGAGCAAGTAGAGTCCATATCGCCATGGACAACAACTGTGTTCGAATTTACTCGACAATTTATCTAGTGACTTCACGATCGTCGAAAAATCCCCAAGAAGCATCAAACATTTCTCGATGGGATTCGTGGAGCAATTCTTAGATAGCAAGCTCCTGGTGCGACTTCATAAAAAGCAATCAAAGAAAAAATCGAAGAGAATGAAATATGTGGTGATTATTATAGCAGTTTCTTCTGCTCCTAAAAAACGTCCGTTGTGAGTCATGCACCAATGACATAAGTAGATGAGGCATATGCAGGGGGAAAAATGAAATTTACCTCACTTCTTAGAATCCTATTCCGGTTAAATTCGCAAGTTTACTTAGGAGTTGTTTTACAAAGATTGTGATAAAAAATTTTAGTAAATTTTGATATGAATTGGTATGGTATATGATTGAAAACTTGAAAAAAAAAATACAAAAATTAAAATGTATGATAAAAATTAAAGTTTGATCAATTAAAAAAGTTAATAAAGTTTTATAAAGAAGCATAACTTAAATAGAATCCTACCCTGTCTAGTCTCTTCAATCAACCAATTTTAATATAGTATTAGATGATGTAAAATACTTTTGAGTACAAATCTCGTGACTAATCTATAAAAAATGATCATATGTCAAGCTTTTCGAAAGGCATATCCCTAAACTCATTATTATTATTGTAGGGTCTAAATACCCACAGCTTGGGAAAATAAAGTCGTTATTAATTCTTTAATTATTTAATTTTGGTCTTTAGCACTCAGATGACCCCACTAGACAAAGTGTGAGAAATTAGTAGTTTGGGTCATTTTATTTAACATTCATCATACTCTTTTTTTTTTGGTTAAATATATATGTTGACCTCGAAAAATAGCTCCGATACGTGGCTAACAGAAAATGTCTTCAAGTCGCTCTTCCTGCACAAGTAGCGTGTCGTCAGTCACTCGTGGTCTTTCCCGGAGGGGTTGGGAACGGCCGCAAACACTCCGACGGTCAAGTCAGTTTAAAGTTCAACCGGAAAAGAATTCACCGGCGGTGGAACACTCGCCGGGAAGTGGTTGACAAAGTGTATGTCGAAAAATGATAATATTCAAGGGAATAGAATACTTAATTTCACAATGTAGTGGTAGTTTTGAGTGTGTTGAGATCCAATCCTTCTTCAGACATAAGGAGAGAGTATTTATACTAAGGATGTGGTGAGGAGAATCATTGGATGAGGAGACACGTGTTGCCAGATCCTCCGGGCTTGTCCCATCCTAGGTGTCAATCCATATCTTCGTAGGTTGGCTAGCATTGAATGTTCTTGACCTAAGCAACTGATTTGACCGTTTAGGTCATGTCACAGGTCCCATCGGTCAGTGATTTGACTGGAAAGATCTTTGTACAAGAGATCTTTGACTAGGAAATGCAGGCGAGGCGTTACAGTGTTATAGAAGCGGAGTGCGGGCCTTTGCATCCGCGGTGTTCTTGTGGATAAGTCCGATTTGTTTGCTGACGTCTATTTAGTTCGCCCTGGTGAGATCACTCCAGCATATGCAGTCAGCTCGTTCCATAGGGCAATCTCCTCGGCCGATAAGTGGCATGGTGTGGGCCATCTCTGATGACACGTGGAAGGTGAAGTGGCGGGTCTGATTCAGACCCGTAACAATAGTCCCTCAAGTCCATGTATGGATATTCATATAGTACAAGGACTTAGTTTCGATGGTTGTGTTGGGACGCACGAGGACAAGCGTCGGGGCCGAGAGTCGAAGTGATAAAGGCTGGCAACTCAAGGGAGTCATAGCAACATTAGATTCTACTCTGGCCGAAGCGATATGGGTAGTTAAATCTGTAGAGAGCTGTTGCAATGCGAAACCATTGTAGCCGAAGATATAGGAGTTGGCAACTCTAGAGGAAGTTGTCATAAGATTGGATCATGCCCTGGCAGAAGTGATAGGGATTGGCAACTCTGTGGAGAGTTGTTGCAACGCGAAGTTGTTGTGGCCGAAGTGACTTCCGAGAGCCTTGGGTCTTGCGTCAATGATTTGAAGGCTTTCGCGTCTTCCCAAGACAACATAAGGGGGCATCTGCTGGCTTCCAAGGCACACCTCCATAGCCATAAATAGTAATGATGGTGACGGCTTTCTGCTCCCGAGGTACCTCGTTTGGGTCGCGCGTGGGACTCACCACTTCATCATGGCCGTTGGTTCAAATGACCCTTGGCTTCGACGGAGATCCTTGCATTTAAACATTGTACAGTTCAGATGAGGTTTGGATGATCCAACGGCTGGGGTGAGTCTAGAATGCCTATAAAAGGCCCATTCGCTTCATTTAAAAGCTTTTACTTTCGCAAAAATTTCTATATTGCTCTTAAGAGAATCTTTGCATACTGTTTTCTTGTATTTTCCAGTGAGCTTCGTTATCAACTCCAGCGATTACTCTGCAAGTTCGGGCTGGCGAAATATATTCTTCGGCTAACTTAGGTAATACTCCCCATTTTCAGTTTCTTCGTCCCCTCATCTAGATTCTGCTCAAAACTTCAAAAATCCTTAGGATGGTGAGTGAACAATCTGTTAGCGCTTTGGCAGCGAGGAGAGGAGAGGTGAGGGGAGTTCTGCTTTAAGAGAGCCCACATTAGTGTCTTCGGATGAGTTGAGTAGGGCCATTAGGGCCGGGGAGAACATTTGGAGACGCCCAGCCTCCCCTTTAGACACCTTAGTTCAATGGGGGGCTTCGAACTACCCCTCAAAAATTATTGGGAGGTGTTGGAGAAGTGCAGGGTTGTTTTTAAGATCCCTGATAGTATAGAGCTAATCGTACCCGAGCCCCACGAGAGGGCCTGCTACCTGAGGTCGGGGTGTGTCGCCGTAAGTAAAAATCTTCATAAGGCAATCCTTAGACTCCCCTTCCACCCTTTCTTTAGACTAGTACTTCGTTCCAACGGGTTGGCCCCGACCCAGTTCAACTCGAACTCTTGGTCCCATATGGTGGGCTCGTGGATGCTCTGGCATCTGATCAACCTAGGGGTAGATATGCCTTTCACTGTTTTCCACTCCATATTTTTGCCGAAGTGTGTGGCTGTGGGGGACGAGACGAGGGGGTGGTACTACGGCACCCTGGGGATTCCATGCCCCATTCATAACCGGGTTGCCCACCTCCGTCAAAGGTTAAAGGAGCTCCTGGTTCTGGGTAGCCGGGAGGTGGGAAACCATGGAGGGAGACCCCATGGCGCCTCTTACTATTCCCACTTCGTACTCAACTTACAGTAAGTCTCTTTCCTGAGTTGATTTCACTTGTACATCCTTGCTTCTTGTTTTAATATATTTTGTTTACAGGCTCTCTTCCGAGATGTGAAATATCCAATGAGGAGTGGGATATAATAAATGAGATATCTCGGACGACTCCGATGAAGAGAGGCTTTAAAGAAATTATTGACAAATATACCCATTTCGTACTCTACGGATTAATGTCGAATCAAGGTGAGGATTTCGCTTCGCTTTTGCTTATGCTCTAGCTTGTCCGAAAATACTTTGTTGGTTGCCTTGTTTGTAGAAGACTTTGAGAAGAAGAAGGTGTCGAGGCCTGACTTTACCTCGATCCGTAAGTCAGTTCGGAGACGAAGCTGTTGATGAGAGTTTGGCTGCTTACAAGAAGCAATCTAAACATTTGCAATCCCCCAGCAAGGCTCAGCGGCCGGCTAAGAATGGCGAGGCGGAGTAAGGAGCTCCTCTCATAAAAAGGAAAAGGGCTGGCTCCGCCGCGATCCCTTATCCGCTGCTGGAGTGACAGTGGCAGCGCCCTCTACCGTTTCCCAGGCCATTGTGCCTATAACTGCTTATTTCGCCGAGAAGGTGACCAAGAAGAGACAGAAGCGACTTGCTAGTACTTTAGCGAAGGGCAAAGTTACGGATTTCCTGGGGACAAGGATGACGATCTTTCTGAAACTGCGCTGGAGATGCTTCCCCCAGAGACCGCCTCGAACTTCAGGGTCCACAGCAAATATTGGACTGAAGACTAGGCTAATCATGTCGTCTCGTGCGATATTGAGGACTTATTGACGGCCAATAACTCTTGTGTGAATAAGGCCATAAGTATGGGCGCCGCGGCAGAGGATTTGGTCAGAGGCCTCCGCGAGAAAAATGAAGACTTGGAGGACAAGTTGAAAGCCTCAGAAACCTGGGAGGCCGAGGTGGCCAAGGCCAAGAAAAAGGTCGAAGAGGTGGAGGAGAAATGGATAACTGCCGCCACGAAGTTGGACACGGCTAAATCTAAGTCAATAGTTGAAAAAGGAGCTTCATGAGTCTGTCTCTCAAGTGGTGGCTCTGACTAAAAGGGTCGACCAGGCAAAATGACCATCAGAGAATTGCCTCGAACGCATTGGTTGAAGGCAACAAACAAAAAGTCGAACTGAGAATGTTATCCGAGGCTCAAGCAGGAGAGATTGATTCGCTGAGGGTTGAAGTGAAGACAACTGGGGATGCAGCAGTAGAGTACGACGACTTCGCTAACTATTGGGCTTCCTGGGTTGCCCAGGAGATGATGTCTCGCATGCTCGAGAGATATCCATAGTTGGATGTTGGCTTCATAGAAGAGGATTTCGGCGGCCCCCCCAAGGGTAAACTAGTGGCGAGGAGGTAGTGGAGGAGGAGAAAGATGAGGCCCCCGAGGAGGAAGTAGGAGCGGGGGTCCTTATTAATGTAGATCCTTAGTTTTTCATTTCTTTTCTTGTAACGTCTTCGGCCTCTTTCTTTTTGGTAATGAAATTCATTTTCTAAGTATTGTTGCCTCTTTTACTTCCATTGTACAAACATCATTGCATCCTCTATTATCGCTTATGCTAAACAACTAAGTAACATCGCACTGGCCTGGCTTAACCACTTAACAAAACGGAAGAAGCCAATAAACCAAGTAGTGTCGCATCGGCCTAACTTAACCACTTAACAAAATGGAAGAAACCAACCAAGTAGCATCGCATCAGCCGAACTTAACCACTTAACAAAATGGAAGAAACCAATGAACCAAGTAGTATCGCATCAGTCTCGCTTAACCATTTTAATAAAATGGAAGGGGCCAATGAACCAAGTATTCCTTGATATGTGCACTTGCCGCTTCATCAAATATGGTACCCGCACCACCTCTGACTAGGCAAATTATTTTATTGGGGTGACCCCTGTGGAAGAGCTTGTACCTCATCCAATGTTATTTGATGTGTGCCCTTGCTGCTTCGTCAAAGATGGCACCCGCACCACCTCTGACTAGGCAAATTATTTTTTTAGGGATGACCCCTATGGAGGAGCTTACACCTCGCCCAATGTTGCTTGATGCCTGCACTTGCTATTTCGTCAAATATGGTACTCACACCACCTCTGACTAGGCAGATTATTTTATTGGAGGTGACCCCTGTGGAGGAGCTTGCACCTAGCCCAATGTTGCTTGATGTGTGCACTTGTTGTGAAAGCGGAGTAAACAGAACATCGATTCATTTCATTGCACAATTTATAACATTACATGTCCCCTACTGGTAATATTTCCTCAAATGTTCGATATTCCAGGGGTAAGGCATCATCTTTCTGTCGAGGTTCTCAATTTTGTAGGTTTCGGACCTGATCTCTTGGGTAATGCGATAAGGCCCTTCCCAATTCGGCTCCAAAGTCCCTGTGTTTGGATCTTTAGCTAGATGCTTCCCCCAGAGACCGCCTCGAACTTCAGGGTCCACAGCAAATATTGGACTGAAGACTAGGCTAATCATGTCGTCTCGTGCGATATTGAGGACTTATTGACGGCCAATAACTCTTGTGTGAATAGGGCCATAAGTATGGGCGTCGCGGCAGAGGATTTGGTCAGAGGCCTCCGCGAGAAAAATGAAGACTTGGAGGACAAGTTGAAAGCCTCAGAAACCTGGGAGGCCGAGGTGGCCAAGGCCAAGAAGAAGGTCGAAGAGGTGGAGGAGAAATGGATAACTGCCGCCACGAAGTTGGACACGGCTAAATCTAAGTCAATAGTTGAAAAAGGAGCTTCATGAGTCTCAGGGACACAAACCTAGAAATCGGCAAGGGAAGACTTTGTGGAGTACTAGATCGCCAACACGGAATGCTCTCTTCTTCACCTTAGCGTTGTAATACCGCATCATTTTTCGTTGGTAAGAAGCGAGCCTAACTTGGGAATTGTCTCTCTTGTCCTCAAGAAAATCCAGTTCGAGCTTCCTCAGTTCATCATTCGTTACTTTGTTGAAGTGGATACGGTGAGGAGAAGGAACATTGACCTCTACATAGCTCATTGCCTTAGCTCCATAGGTCATAGAAAATGGAGTTTTCCCTGTAGCTGTTTTGCAGGTGATTTTGATGCCCATAGAACTTGGGGGAGCTCGTCATCCCAGCCCCCTTTGAAGGCATCCAGCTTCCTTTTCAGGATGAGCTTTATGATCTTGTTGACTGCCTCGACCTAGCCATTCGCCTGGGGATGATGGGGTCAAGAGAAATGCTTTCTGATTCTGAGCTCATCACACAATTCCCGGAACTTCCTGTTGTCGAACTGTTTGCTATTGTCAGAAACCAAGGAATGAGGTATGCCAAACAGGCATATGATGTTTTTTCCAGAGAAACTTGGCCATAGGCTCTGCTTCCACCCATTTGGTGAATATGGCGAAGAGAGCGCTCCAATAAAGTTTACACCCCATTTGGCGAACGGCCACGGGCTGGACACAACAGTGAGATCTTGAGATAGCTGCCTCTGGATGTTGGAGAAGCATGTCACTTGTCACATTTGCGTACGAATCCTATGGCATCCCTTTTCAGGACGGGCTAATAATACCCTTGCCTGAGTACCTTGTGCGCCAAGGCAAGTCCACCGGAGTGATTCGCACAAATGCCTTCATATACTTCTTTAAGGATATAATTTGCTTCTTCTCCCCCTATGCATCTGAGAAGAGGAGAGGAGAAATTGTGCTTATATAGGATATCGTCCTGCAGGATGAAGTGAACCGCTCTCCTTCGAAGCCTTCGTGCTTCGGTTCCATCTTCGGCACGGTTTGCTCCTTCAAGTAGGCCAAGATATGTATCATCCAGGGTAGTGTACTTTCAATCCACATCAGCTCTTCACCCTACTTGATGGAAGGTTCAGCCAGGTGCTCAATTAGTACTACTTTGAGCAAGTTTGAATCTTTGCTGCTGACCAACTTTGATAAAGCATCCGCATAGGAGTTTTCTTGGCGTGGCACTTGGATGAGCTCAAACTTCTCGAATTTAGGTATGGAGTTCATGAGCAACTTCAAATAGGCTGCCATAAGCTTGTCCCTGGCCACGAACCTGCCATTAACTTGATTTACCACCAACTGTGAATCACTGATGATAATAAACCTTTTCATTTGCAACTCTTTGGCTAATCGAAGTCCAGCCATGAGAGCCTCATATTCAGCCATGTTATTGGAGGCCTTGAATCCGAGCCTTACGGCGCAGTTAAGCTTGTGCCCCTCTAGGATTTCCAACACGACACCAGCTTCAGAGCCCGTCTCTCCTGAGGAGCCGTCAACAAAGAGGTTCCACGTAGGGAGCTTTGTCGGCTCCATGTTCACTTCAATTTTAGGAGCCTTAGCGAACTCTACAACAAAATTAGCCAGAGCTTGGCCCTTGATTGCTGTCCGGTGCGTGTGCGTTATGTCAAACTGGTTGAGCTCAACATCCCATTTTAATAATCTTCCCCGAATCATTTGGCCTCTGCAAGATTTGCCTTAATGGAAAATTCGTCAAGACATAGATGCCGTAGGCTTGAAAGTAGGGTCTCAACTTTTGAGAGGCGGTGACCAACGAGAGAGCCAATTTCTCCATGTCCAAGTAACGAGCGTCAGCATGCGGTAAGGCTCTACTCACATAGTAGATTGGCAATTGGTACGTCTCTTCTTCTCGCACAAGCACTGAGCTGATCGAACCTTCGACTACCGCCAAGTATAACAGCAAAAGTTCCCCTTCCCTAGGTTTGCTGAGGAGAGGTGTTCGTCCCAGGTAGTTTTTCAACTCTTAGAAAGCATTTTCGCACTCCGAGGTCCATTGGAACTTCTTCAGTAGCTCTCGAGATGAAGCGATTTAGTGCGGCTATTCTATCAATGAGCCGTTGCACCTCCTTGGGCTTCTGTGGCGACCTCATTTCAATTAGGGCTTTGATCTTTTTTGGGTTGGCCTCTATCCCCCTTTGATTTATTATATAGCCCAAGAATTTTCCCGAGGCTACACCAAAAGCACACTTTAGGGGATTTAGCCTCATGTGATACTTTCTTAATGTATGGAAGGCCTTCGCTAGATGCCCGATGTGCTCCTTAGCCAGGAGGCTTTTTACAAGCATGACATCCACATAAACTTCCATCGTTTTGCCCAGCTAGTCAGGAAATATCTTATTGACTAGCATTTAGTAGGTGGCTCTAGCATTTTTCAAGCCAAAGGGCATCACCTTGTAACAGTAGAGCCCCTCGTCAATGATGAAAGAGGTGTTCTCCTCGTCGCTTGGGAACATAGGCATTTGATTATAACCTGAATAGGAATCCATGAAGCTGAGCAACTCATGCCCAATAATCGAATCTACCAGCTGGTTGATTCTCGGAAGCTGAAAGCTGTCCTTTGGGCATACCTGATTAAGGTTAGAGAAATTAATACAAACCATCCATTTGCTGTTGTGCTTCTTCACGAGCACAGGGTTTGAAATCCACTTCGGATAGTTGGCCTCACGGACAAAGCCATTACTACAAGTCTCTCCACCTCTTTTTTCAGGGCCTCGTACCTTTCGACATTCAATGCCATCCTCTTCTGCCTGTGTGGAGTGCAGTTGTGTCAATCCGCAAGTGATGGAAATTGACCTTGGGGTCTATTCCAATCATATCTTCATGTTTCCATGCAAAGACATCCGAATTTTTTCAAAGGAAGTCTTTCAGTTCTTCCTTAACCTCTTCTTCCAATGCCTTTCTGACCTGCAAGACCTTCAATGTGTCTTGATGATCCACTGGGAAAGTCTCGACCTCTTCCATTGGGGCGATCTGGGATTCCGACTCAATCACCCTGGGATCTAGTTCTTCCAAGGGCACTTCAGGTCTGGCCTCTGCCATGACAATATCTTGTATAGGAGGTTGCCCTTCCTCGGGGGCCTCTGACATTTCAGCGTCTAACACCATGTTAACTCGTGGCTCTGACTTTCTTAGAGAATTGAGATAGCATTCCCTGGACCCCATCTGATCGCCTCGAATAGTGGCTATCCCTCGTTCTGTGGAGAACTTCATACAAAGGTAGTAGATAGAAGTGACTGCCATAGTTCCTTCAGAGCGGGACTTCCCAAAATTTCGTGATAAGCGGATCGGTGAGCAACAATTAGGAACTCCATGAAGTGATGTGCCACCTGAGGCAAGGCTTCCATTTCGATAGCCAAGGTAATTTTGCCTCTGGGAATCATATTGTCTCTGGTGAATCCATAAAGGGGCGAGCTCATTGGAGTTAGTTCATGATCCACTACCATTTTGTCAAAGGTCATCCCATATAAGATGTTGACCGAACTCCCTTTACCCACCAGCGTGCATTTCAGCCTGTTGCCAGCTACAGGGCGTCGCAGTGTGGGAAGTGCACATTTGCAGCATCTTCCGGGTGAATGTAATAGGCACTGTGACCCTGTCGCTTTGTGATTGGTTGACTATATAGCTAGTCGTTGATGGGGCTCTCGCCTCCCTGGTGTAATTCATTTGTACATTTTTTGATTCACCTTCCACATGGCGTCTACCAATGATGGTGTCGATCTCGCGAATGGGTTGCTACTCATTCGAGGAGGCTAAATCTCTCCTGGGACGTTGCTCATTTCGAGGCCCGTACCTATCACTGTTTCTGTCATTGTGGCGGGGAGTGTCGCCTCGTTTCACCTCTTCGAGGGGGCTTCGCCTCGGATTGTTATCCTGATAACGCTGATCTCTGGAGTCACGGGGATTTCTTGCAGGCATATTTGCCCCCTACATTCGCTTGTGTCATGGCCATAATAACGATAAATGGTGCAGTAAGGCCACACTTCCTGGGGCCTATTTCTAGGCCTCCCAGCTCTTCCTCTATTTCTAGAAGTTGAAGGTCGTCCGGTGTTTCTAGTCAGATTGCTTGTGTTTGGTCCAAGATTTTCATAAGCTAAGGTGGGGACTGCATTCAGAGTGGTAGTGGCTAGTGCTTGTCCCGAAGTGGGAGCCACGGTGTGTCCGGCTTGAGTCCACTGCTGGCTCATTATTAGAGAGGTGGGTTCCCTACCTATCTGCCTTTGGGCAACCTTGTTTCTGTGGTCGATCATTGACAATCTCAACCTTCATCATTTCTACCAACTCATCATATGTCAAAGGATTCTTACTTCAGAAATCTCTCTAGAACAAAGTGTTCATGTTCAACCCTTCTTTCAGGGCTGAAGGGCATACTTGTCTGTAACTTGTTCACAATAGGTTATCTCATCGGTAAAGCGAGCAATGTAGTTCTTTAGGGTCTCCCCTCCTGCTTGCCTCATGTCTTGCAAGCATTGAATTAGCGCATCTCCCTCCTTCCTAGAAAGATACTAGTTTAGGAATGCATTTTTCAGGTCTAGCCAACTTCTTATGCTAAGCCGTGCCAATCTGCTGTACGATACTTCAACAGTTCCACCTAGACTTAGATGAAATGCCCTGCACTTCAAACATGGCGAGGCTCCTCTCAGGCTCATTTGAGTTTTATACTTGTTGAGATGCTTCTCCGGATCGCCTTTCCCTTCGTACTTGGAAATCTAAGGAGTGACAAAGTTATGAGGCATCGTAAATGTGCGAAGTTCCCTGGAGAATGGGCAAATTGTCATCATCATCATCAAGTTCATATGACCTGCACAGTTCGTCGACATATTCCCATCCGCCGCTGGGCGAGGTGGATGCTTGGCAGTTTCAGTTCTATTTTCCCAATCCCTCATGTTTTGGGCTTGGACTTCACTCTGCGCGCGTTCCTACGGCGGCCCGTTTGGTGCGCCGGCTGGTTCCTATTTCTAGGCGCCCGCCCGATCTGATCAAAAACATTGGCAGACATTTGGGGTTTCTCCTCGTACTCCAGCAGGAAATTATATTCACCTGCAAGGGCACTTTCAGCCAGAGCGACTATATAGTGGGAGGTGTCCATTCCCACTTCTCTTTCAGCGGAGACCTCTCTCTGGGGACTAACGTGAGTTCTCCTGCTGGATTCAGTCTCAGTTCGCCTTTGGGCTGATTGTTGAGGATTTTAGGGGGCTTGAAATCCGCCCTGATTTTGTACTCACGTGAGGAGATCTTGCATAGCTGCATTATGGGCTGCGATTGTCCTCATGTTGCAGCAAGGTGGGCCACCTCGGCAGTTAAGCGCACGGAAATCCTACCACCTCTTCGATAACGGTGGTGAGGCCGCTATTGTGTGACATTTGTCCAGATAATCTACATCCCTTGTTCTCCTTGTATTCACCTCTTCTTCGCTGGAGCTCATGGTCCAAAGCGAAAGTTGTGATGTGCAAATGATCCCTTTTCAAGAACTAATCCCTTTTTCAAGAGAGAGTATCAACCGGCTCTTCAAGCTGCTTTTGGTGGGAAACTCATGGTTATAGTATATTCCCACAGACGACGCCAATCTATTGACCTCGAAAAATGGCTCCGACACGTGGCCAACAGAAAATTTCTTCAAGTCAGCTCGTCCTACACACGTAGACGTCGTTAATCACTTGTGGCCTTTCTTGAAAGGGTTGGAAGCGGCCGCAAGCACTCCGACGGTCAAGTCAGTTTAAAGGTCAACTGGAAAAGAGTCCATCGGCGATGGAACACTGGCCAAGAAGTGGTTGACAAAGTGTATGTCGAAAAATGATAATATTCAAGGGAAGGGAATACTTAATTTCACAATGTAGTGTTAGTTTTGAGTGTGTTGGGATCCAATCCTTTTTTCAGCCATAAGGATGGAGTATTTATACTAAGGATGGGGAAAGGAGAATCGTTAGATGAGGAGACACGTGTTGCTAGATCCTTCGGGCTCGTCCCATCCTAGGTGTCAATCCGTCCATTCGTAGGTGGCTGGCATTGAATGTTCCTAACAGAAACAGTTAATTTGACCGGTTAGGTCCTGCCACACGTCCCGTCAGTCAGTGATTTGACTAGAAAGATCTTTGTACAAGAGATCTTTGACTAGGCGAGGCAACCGAGGCATTGCAGCGATGTAGAAGCTGAGTGCGGGCTTTTGCGTCCGCGGTGTTCTTGCTGATGAGTCCGGTTCGTTTGCTAATGCCTATTCAGTTCGCCCTGGTGAGATCACTTCGACATATGCAGTCAGCTCGTTCCATGAGGCAATCTCCTCGACCGACACATGGCATAGTGTGGGCCATCTCTGATGACACGTGGAGGGTGAGGTGGCGGGTCTAAATTAGGCCCGTAACAATATCCACACCACATTTTAATTGCATAAAAGCATATAATCTTTAATTGTTGTATACATATGTCCTCAAATTTTTTTAAATCGCATTCTTATTGCCACGCTTTCATTGGTTAGCTCTGATGAAGATTTCTGTCCAAAAATTTCATTGAGAGAGAGAGAGAGTAAAAATACTTATTTACTCATCATATTTTTGAATAAGTGAGAAAAATAATAAATACAAAATTATTACTAAATATTTTTCCCATTTTAAAGCGTGCTAATATTTTTTATTTATTTTATTTTTTGATGAAAACGTCATTAAGGATAATATTTGCTAATTGTTGAAAGTTTAAAGATAAGAATGTGATGATTTTTTTTTTTTTTTTGCATAAATATAACAATGAATGTAACTATCCGTTTTTTTTCTTTTTGATTATTATATTCATAAAACAATTTTTATTATTTTCGCCACATTTTAATTGCAATAAAGATGCCAAATTTTACACACTTTAACATTTAAATCCCAATATCTTTTGTCTCATTTATATGATTGACTATCAATTAAAGGAAAATCTTGTCTCTTATTTTGTTCAAAATATACTAAGAGTCAAATAAGCTTTTTTTTTAAGCCTTCTAATGAAATTTTGGACTGAAATGACCATAAAAACAAGATATCAAATTAATAGGAGATCGAGATAAGAATGTGATGTAAAAAGTTGATTATAAATACAAGAATTAGCAAAACTCGAGGACGAATGTTGGAATTCAAATGTGGTTTAATTAACAAAAAGCGTAGTATAAATATAATTATCCAATTATTTTTAAAGTTAAATATTAAAGTAGTTAATAACTAAAACCTCTATTTACAAATGGATTATTAATTCAGTTAAATTATAATATTAATTTCAATCACATGCACGATTTATAGTGATATATTATTAATACATTTTGTATGCATATATAAATAAATGATTTATAAAATTTTCGAATCGATTTTTCACATAAAGAAACAGGTGTTGCGGGACAGAATGAGTTATAAGATAGTAGCTAAAAAATTGGAACGTAAGCTTTTGAAAGGTTGGGCCACGTGCAGTTCAACAAATCTTGTTGGCGTCTTGGCAGACATGATGGGTTGAGCCCATTGGAGACAGACAGAAAGTGGGCCTTGGTCCAATTATACACAACAATGATTATTGAGTTAAATGTGAACTTATGACAGTGTCATGTTGACTGAAATTTAAGATGTCGAATTTTGATTATTAAATTTATCCAAATGTTAGACGTTACTCACGACATAACATCATTTTCAAATTGTTAAAGGAATCAATGATATGGCTAACAAAATGTACATATGGCGCATCGTCACATCATTAACGAATTATCGCTTCTCTGATTGCTCACTAAATTTTGAAAAAGACTTAGATTGCTTATTGAAGTTTGAGATTGTCGAATTTTGGCTACTAAACTTATAAAAATGACGTCGGCTTGTTGTTCTTTAAAAAATGTCTATTGCAAGCGCCAGAGTTGCGTAAAAGTAATAATGTAGACAAATGAATCCGGACAATCAATCCCATAAGAAATTATTACTCAATTACACAATAGATAAATTTAATTTTAACATAATGCTCTAGAATTTTAAACTATTTTCATCATTTGAAAATTCAAATTTATTTTATGCTTCGCTATTAAAATAAAAGTTGAATTTTGCAACGAAACACACAATAAATTTAATTAAAATTTGACTTTTGGTAACAAAACACACAATCCATTTAATTAAATTTATTGTGTATTTTGTTGCAAAATTCAAATTTTAATTTACTTTTAACAATGAAACTCACAAAAATTTTGAATTTTTTAAATGATGAAAATAGTTTAAAATTCTATAAAAATCTGTTAAAATTAAATTTAATTATTGTGTAATTGATTAAACATTTCTCGTTGGATCAACAACACCTGTTTATCCATTTTATTACTTTTATGTGACATGTGCGCTTGCCGTATACATTTTTTAATGAACAACAATCCTACGTCAATTTTATAAGATAGTACCAAAATTCGACCACCTTAAACTTCAGTGAGCAATCTAAAATGTTTTTTCAAAGTTTGGTGAGTAGCCAAAGACATTTTTCAAAATTTAGCGAGCAATCGAAGACGTGACATTTGTTAACGGTGTGATTGAGCGGCATAGGTGCATTCCATTAGCTACGTCACCAATTCCGTTAACGGTTTGAAACGAATTTTATGTCGGTGAGTAACATTCAACACCTGGATAAGTTTAATGGTTAAAAATCAATATCTTAAACTTCAGTGAGCAATCGAAAACACGAATATAAGCTCAGTGACCATTGAGACCATTAACTCATGGTTATTTATGGTCAAATTTTCCAATGTGTATAGGATTGGTATTCAAGTATTTGGGCGGTGATTTTTGTTTTGATTTGAGTTTACAAAGCATAATAACCATGGAAAACTGTTTGGGCCAACTGGTCTTCTCAGGCAAAACATGAAATGCTGGAAATTGAAAACCATGGTTATAGCTCTATTAAGAGAACATGTTTGGCCAAAATCGATGCCACCAGTTTCAATTCATTGCTACAGTAAAACTACTTCGTTTAGAGTAGACATATAGAACTAATCCATAGTTTGATAAAGACTGTGAAATCAAGTCAAAATCTGGCTTATCTTTCGAAGAAAGGCCTCGTAAGGAATTTAGTTTGGATATCGACACTAGGAATGAGATTCTGCTTAAAATAGTAATAATCAATAATGGAAACTCGACCTAACTATTGACACTTCGATCTCTTAGGGTCAATAAGTGAAGTACATTATGTGGCTGTCTGGTTGGGATTTTCAGCCAGACACAATTGATTATTGAACTCTTTTTTTGTTACCATTTCTCACAGGCTTTCAGCCACAATCTTGGAAATGTGATCGTTGCTGGGCTTCAATGGTAATAAAAGCAATTTTAAGCTGAAACTAATTGCTGACAGACAGGGTCTATATGAATAATTGCAACACACTGAGATTTGATCCCAAGGTTAAAGTAATTGGAAAATGTATCAAGAAAGGAGAAGTTAAGCTATCGACACACGACTTCAAATTTACTATGAACATTTCGTTCGAGTTTGGTTCAAGTTATTGCAAGGAACTCCCACCAACAGTTTAAAGGTGTTCATAGCCCACTAAACCTCACTTTAGCCCTTGCTTGATAGGAATTAAAATNTTGCAGCCCTCCCGAGTCGTACCTCAACCACTCAGCATAGAAATGTTAAATGGGACGAACAACTCATAAGTTCGTGCCATTAACGAGCATAAAATGTGGAAAAATATTATAAAGCCCCTGTTGGTACACATTAAAATTTTCATTTTCATTCTTCTACTCATTTTCAACCACACATCTTTCAATAAAATAATAATTTCCTTTACATCAATAACTTTTCCTTCCTTTTCAACCACACATTTTCCATCAATCTACTATTTCAAAATATATTCTTTCAAAATAATGTGGATCAAACACACCCAAAGATTTTAATTCCTACCAAAAAAAAGGGCTTAAATCTTTTAAAATGCAATCTCTAAATTTGATACTTCAAATGGAAAGAAAGTGTCAACATTTTGGTATTTACACATTCAATGCCCAACTTTTAAAATCCCTGAACTTTTAGCATCCAACCTCTAAAATCGCACGTTTATGGTTATTGGTATAATCAGTCCTTTTTACCATTTTGTGTCGAACTTGGCATTAATATGGCAAATTGTATAACTTTATAACAAAATGTAAAAAAAATACATAATATTTGTGAATATTCTGATAAAAATTAAATGAAATTTAGGTGCAACCACAAGCACTAGAAATACCAGTTGTGTTCTTCTTTAAGACTATTTCTTCTGCCTTCCTAATCTTCACTTCATTAAGCACATGTCCGGCCCATTCAGAAAAGAAACTTTCATTGTATCCAATTTTGCCACCTTTATAAATGGCCATGCACCGGCGGTCGTCGTCGGGATACTGGCATTGATCGCCATCGGGATCCCGCCATGCGCCCCGGTGTACCATCCCGGACCAGCTAGCAATCCAGTGGTACACGTATTGACCAACGCCGGCCAGTTTTGACCATCCCTTGGGGAAGAATTCCATTACACTGCTGTTTCTGTCCATGAAGAACATGTTTGTCAATTGTGCCCCGTGTGGAGAGATCAAAATGTCTGTTGAACTCATTAGTTTCACCTGATAACAATTTACATGGCAGTCAGGATGAGGAGGTTGTTTTAGAGGTGTCAAAATATGCACACTGACACAGTTCAAGCCTGAGATGGAGCCCAATACAGTCAACAAAAATGTGTGATTGAAAATAAAGTTCGACCATTTCTAAATAATTAATAAATTTTGCAAAATGAATGCTTAAATAAGTGAGAGAAGAAAACTCATTGTAATTCAAGGTCAAGTATGAGTGGAAGGGACAATGTAATGACTACCACTAAAGTAGCCCAAAGGCTTCCATATCAAATTAGATAAGAGATTTTTTTCATTTTTTTTTAGTAAAATGAATAAATCGACGAATATAATTATTGACTTTAATTAAATTTATTGATTTTTAGCAAATTTTGATAAAAGATGATTGAATGTGTGGTTGAAAAGTTTGAGTCATGTGCAGTTAAAATTAATTATTGACTTTATTTAGATTTTAGTTCTTTTAGCGGTACTAAACCAAGGACTAAATTGTTTGTCCACTAAATTTTGATCACTAGGCACATAAACTCTTGTTAACAAATGGGAAACGTCATTTCAAAAGTGATTTTACTTGTAGTTTAATGTTATTATTTACTAATAAGAACTTATCTTTGGAGTTCAAATATTTAGAAGAAGAGACAACTAAATTGAGACATCGGATCTCAACTCTTCTCTGTCATGGATCCTATTGATTTCTTATTCTATTATCGTGGCATCGATCATATAAGGGCAGTTGGCTATTGTGCCCGATTTTGACCACTACATCAGGATAAATTTATAATCTGAAAACCGTGATCAAAGATCCATCAAATTGGTCTCAAAGATTAGCCAGGAATTACCCGACCCTCTTCTCTCCTATGGGCTCACATTATTTTAGGGGCTTTGTTATGTGTATATCGGGATTGATACCTCGATGTACAGCCCCCTCACAATAAGGGGGCACGATTTTTTATTGAACGTGGACCCTCTATTGTGAAAGGGGGTGTACGCATGAGTGTCAATTCCAATATACAAATAACAAAACCCTAATTTTAAAGTTTTATAACCTTTAGGCCAAAGCACCTAAAAAGTTGGTCAAGTGTAGGCTAGCACAGACTACCTCAAAACTGGTACCGGATTACACCTTTAGCTTTCTACACAAAATACAGCATGCTATAAATAATTAAACAATAATGCTCCAAGTACAGGAGCATTATTGCCAGGGGCCTCACAGGCACCTCATTGTGTCGAGGCCCCACATGAAAAAAAAAAAAAAAAAATTTGGCCCCACCCCCCAAATGTATCATGTCAGGCAGTCTGGCCCCTGTAGTCCAAGCATGGCCCTTAATTAGATGCAAAAGAAAAAAAATTAAATAATACCTGTTCACAGAAGGTGAGGTTATTAGAATATGCCACCAGCAACCGGCAGCTCTCCACTTTTTGGCACGCCTTGTCGAAGATGCCGATCACGGTCATGTCATTCTTGAATGACCTTGGTCCAGTCCTCATGAACATTGTCATTCCGATCACCGGCACCCCTTTTTGATTAACCTCGGCAATTCTACCCTCCAAGCTCACATTACAATATGCCCGAGCCTTGCACCTCAACAAATCATAAACTTCCATTCTCTTTTCTCTGGACATCCCCCCTTCATTGTGCCTCATCACCACTGCCTCCTCAAAGCAAGCCGGAATCTGATCATTCCCCTCCTTAGTCCCGTCAAATTTTTCGATGATTAAGGCTTCGCCATATGTTGCTTCCATTAAAGTCGTCAACCAAGGTCCCATTTTTGTCCTCAATTCACCCCAATGATACAAAATCCACCTTCTTGGCACTGCACATTGATTCTTAATATGCCATGCAACAAAGGGTACCATAGCGGATAAACCATGCCATATATTATCATAATTATAATGGTTATATGACACAAAAGTGAGGCCTTCCAAAAGGGTGGCATTTTCAGGTAGAGTTTGAGGCCATGCAAGTGCATATGAATTCCATGATCCATCGTGCGTGTCGTTTCCCTTAAGGCACAGAAGTCTACCTTTTGAGGCTTGTGATGGGAATTTTTGGTATTGGACTTCACCTTCTTCGTGTGTATCATACATGGAGCTCATGAACCATGTGTGTCCTTGCTGAGCAGTGCTAGAGTAACGTAGGTCTTTTAGGGGAAGAAAAGTTACCGCGCTTTGCACTTTCGAGGCCATGGTTTTGAGCTTTTGAGTGCAATCTTGAAAAGTCGTCGTGCTCGAGTTTGTAGCCGTTTTCCATTGATTCATGAAGTTCCACGAAAGTGATGGTGGTGGGGTGTGGAGGGATTGGATTTCGAAGATAACTATGAGTATGACACAAATGGCAAGGAGATGGATTGGGAGTTTCGGTGAACGACGAGAGAAAGTTGAACTTTTACGTGCATTTTTTGAGCTTTTTTCTGATTCTGAAACTGCCATGGTGAGGGTGGCGAAGTGCAGAGGTTGATGGTTTGGGGTGGGGGGAGGTGGAGGTGGAGGTGGAGGGGGCAAGGATTGAAGTGATGATTGAGTAGTAATTGGAAATTTTGGAGCTCTTTGGGCAGCGGGATATGGGGACCTTGCTTGTTTAACTTTTAATTGACGTGGTACAAAATTTGAGACAAAAAATTAAATGTTAAAGAAAGCTGATTTTGAAGGAGAAACGATTCTTTTTCAAGCTCAAGGAACCTTTCATGAAATACGAAATCTGATCTTCAGGCTTCATTTTCCCGTGAACACAAGGTTGACAGGAAATAATAACTATTAGGTTATCTAAAAATAAGAAAATAAAACTAAAGGGATTGCACACGGACAGTGCTAGATCACAAGATGTGAAACATAGAAGGAACACAGATTATTTACAAGACACCACATATCAGCTTCAACATTCGTTAGATCAGATTATATTTGAACGAAGCACAGCCATCAACTTATAATCAACAATACAAGGGTCAGCATTCTATGTACATTAAGGTCGTTAAGCGCACCACGTAGTCTAGGCCATGAAATGTCTTCTTTTGTCACTGTCTCGGTAAGGCTTCAGCTAGTATAAGTTATCTTCCATCCCAGCTACATTTAAAATTGTGAGATGCATCAGCAGGTTTACTTTTGAGTCAAAATGCTGTACAGAGGTTGCCAGTCTTCAAGTTAGACGAACACTCCTGTTCAATTGGCTGAGCCGGGCTACATAACCTGCTTCTCTTAGGTTCAGATATTCTAACACGTGAAATAGCCACAGCAAGAACATCGACCAGACCACTGTCCTCTCCTTCAGTCGAACCACCAGATAGTAAAGTTGGACTAGAGTCTTCACTGAGATTATTACGGGATATTAACTGGTTTCTCTCAGACTCTGCCCCAGGTAGAGAAGCTGTCTGTTTTAAAGTGTTCTGCACCTTTGGTTTGACAGTTATGGTTTTCAATGTGGGTTCGGTGTAGAATGAAATCCATGGATGCCCTGAAAAGACGCATTCAATAATAAGTTCCAGAGAGAAAAAGACTGATGATCAGTACGTCATATAAAACTCATTTTGGCATATCAAATAACTAAAACTGCCATGATCAGAAATAGAGATCAAGGTTCCAAAAACGCCCAATTTTTAATAGAAGTACGAGATTAATTAGAGCATGCAATTGTACTGTTCCATGCGGAAACGAATGATCCATGAGATAATTTCAAATGCCTAAGTGAAAAATACACTACTAACGACAGACAACAATAATTTTCTTCATTCGTAATTTATTTATAAGATTATAGGTAGATTCCTTTCAATGTTAATCCCAACGCTCAATGTTAAGCCTAGGATTACTGTATAACAAGCAGATATCCAACATATTGTCCATACAAATCATAAGGCGCACATCCTAATGCTCTGTGTAGGCTCTATAAAGTTCTTGTTTCAATTTTAGTTTTACTGACTCGAATATTATTCCGCTGGCACTCTATAAAAACCAACACAACTAAACTCTGGTGTCAACAATACTTGATACATCTACTTACCACGCAAACAAATATCAATTATAATCATTGCCCATAAACAAAGACCTAAATGGAGGAGGTTAAACTGGAGATTACTCACTTAGAACTTCATTTGCAGTAAGCCTTTCTTTAACACTCCTAGTCAACATCCTAGAGAGTAGATCACGAGCAGGCTGCGATATTGAGTCCCATACATCACCAGAAAAATCAAGTTTTTCTTTCTTGATAGCCTCAAAAACAGCTTCCAGAGAATCACCATGAAATGGGAGTGTACCAACTAGAAGTGCATGTAGTAGGACACCAGCACTCCAGATATCCACTTTCTCAGAATAATTACCCACCAGCACTTCGGGAGCAACATATGCAGGACTTCCAACTACACCAGTCAAGCTCTGACCTATATTGAAGAAGATAATTATCACATGGGAGTCACATCAAAAAATTTATCCAACTCCCTGGTTCAAGATTAAAATTCGTTTAACACCCACGCACTTATTTGTTGAGGAGAAACTAATCCAATTCGTAGCTGTTGATGTTCTTTATTAAATTACAATTGGCCAAAAATACGAGCAGCATGTCCTTGGATTGAAAAATACACTTGATATAGATGAGATTGCAAGCAATGAGTCTGTATTTAAAGCAGCATCTAGGCTGCAGTGATATCACATAAGTTATGTTTCCCTAGTGGACTCCTGCGTCTTAGATTATAGACGATTCATCTGCTTCTGTTAGACAAAATGGCAATTTCTCAAGGGTCTGAGTCTATTTTACAAATCCTTCAAAGTAGCAAGTCAGTCCAGGCTAAAAGTTAAACGTGCCATTTTAGTTTCTTCAGGCCCTCCTTGCTCCTGTTGATATCTCAAAATGACAAAATGCTCCTCCCTCTCAATATCCCCGCACCCACTCCGTCTCACGACATCACACCTCTTTCGTTTCTTTTCCTTTCTATTTATTTTTTTCTTCTCAGCTTAAGATTTTAGTAAAGCAGGCACCTAAAGAAACAAAGAAATTTATAAATCAACCAAATTAAACAAATTAACTCTTCTATGTTAGGTCCATTTATTGTCCCTAAATAAACCAAACTGTGGAATTCTTTTTAACATTGGCTGCTAATAACTGAATGGTAGAGCCGCGCAAACAATTTTTATTGAAACAACAAATCAACACAAAGTGCCATAATTAAAGAACATACGTCAGAGTAATGTAGTACAACAATGCACCTCAAGGGTCCCCCATCTCCCTTGAAACCAAAACTGTTAAACATTATGCAGAATGAGCCTGGGGTAAATAGCATCAACAACATTTACTTATCAACTTTATATAGTTGTACACCTAGAAAATTATCGAATTAGCAGCAAGATAAGGAGAATCAAATACAAATTAGCTGCCACAAGTTAGACCAGACTGACAGTATAACTTAGTTACGCTTCAGATCAAGTTCACTGTTTTGTTGAGGTCTTTTGTTGGTCAAGTCAGCTAAAAAAATTTTTGGCCAAAAAAAAATTTCAATAGCGCATGTCAATACAATAATTAGAACAAGAAATAGGGAAGTTGGTCAAGTCAGCTAGAAATTTTTTGGTCAAAAATTTCAATGGCACGTGTCAATACAATAATTAGAACAAAAAATAGGGAAGTTAATAAAAAAAAGAAAATCCATACATTTTAGCCCTCAGTGCACTAAGAGAATTAGACTCTGGTTGATATGAAAATGCTAAACATCTATTTATTATCTGACAAACTACACAATGAATCCCGTGTCTAATGAGATGTGTAAAAGAGTAAAAGAATGTATTATTGGGGAAAAAAAAACCTAAGAAGGCTTCAGTATTAATTGACTGATTGTTATACTCACCATCTAAAATTCTCAAAGCCAATCCAAAGTCAGCAAGCTTCATCTGTCCAGAAGTTGTAAGAAGGATATTCTCAGGCTTTACATCCCGGTGAACAACACCCATCTCGTGGCAGTATCGGATGGCCAGCATTAGTTCCTTAATTATGTTCGCAGCCTGTCGATCAGTATACCGGCCTTCTCTAGCCATATGATCTAGCAAACGTCCCCCAGAACAAAGCTCCATCACGAGATGGAAAGATTCAGCATCTTCATACACTGCCTTCAGCGTCACAACACCCGGATGCCCTGAGAGGTGTTGCATTATCTCCACTTCCCGGTGCACAATCTCTTCCCCTTTCCGCAAAGTCTTGCACGCAAAATCTTCTCCAGTTGCTTTACACCGACAATACACTACTGACCCGAACTTTCCTCGCCCTATAGTTTCACCCAACTCATACTCTTGTTCAATCTTCTTCTTCCTACCCAAACGAGTTGCCACATCGATACATCCAATTTTCCTCTTAAGACCTCTGGCCGGCGAGGTCAAACATGCAGTCCCACACGGTGGGGCAGTGACAACTCCAGTTACTAAACTTCTACAGGAATCAATATTTTTTACAGCTACTACTTCCCTGCATTTCTTTTTCCTCCTTGAATAATCTTCCAAGGATAAATGTGACCATAATATTGCCAATGAATTTTGTTCCTCAACTTCTTTTTGACATACTTCTGAGATCTCCACGCCCTTCCTCTTCTTCCTCAAACACTCCATGGACAATCAACAAATCCAATCCGACCCAAGTACTTGAGACCATAAGCAACATAAGACTAAAATTCACAGAAATTTTATAAAACCCTAAATTCACCAATACCAAAAATCAAATCAAATCAACGCAATTTCTCTAATTTAACCTAAGCAATCGATTATCCTATAATCTGCCCAAAGATAACGAAGCCCATGTGCAAAAATTTCCGATTTTTGGTAAAATCCTGCAATCGGAAATAGTACCAATCAAGGACCCCCGTTTTACTGTTATTCTTCGAGGAAACACCATCAGAACACAAGTAAAAGGGAAAAAAAAAAAGAAGAAGAAAAAAAAGGAAGAAAGAAAGAAAGTAAAAAGGGCCAAGATTTTACCCGGGCATGCTAAGACTTCTTGATCTTTTTCTTGCGACCCATTTAAAATAGAAGCATACTCTCCTCAATAATCTGCAATTACAGCAAAAATAATTAATACCGAACCCGAATCCTTAACAGAGAAAATCGCGAAGAGAATATATGTAAAGAATAATGGAGTAGAATTATACCTTCACATAGAAGAAATCTAGAGCGAAGAGAAGAAATCAAGAGTCATTCGGAGAGGAGAAAGGGAAAGCTGCTCGTTTTATCTGCTGTACGCATAGTGCGCACTGTGTATACACACGTGACGTTAATAACTGCCCGCGCTAATATATTAAGATCCAGCGGTGAGGACCTTCCATGTCATTGATTTTAACGGTTGAGATCCGATCTTCGTGTGGGTCAAATTAGTGGTTGCACTTCTCACCAAAAATCATAATTACGAGAATTTTTTTTTTTTTTTTTTTCGAGTAATGCTATTAGTAATTGGCAAGTGGAGTAGTCTTAGTTTGCTGTTGAGACATTAAATTGTTGTTTGAAACAATAAAAAATACAAAAAATTAATGATTCAAATAACAAATCGTCACATCTAGCGATTACAAATAGGATCTTTTTTTCAAGTTTTTTCACCAAAAAATTTAGTCGCTATCAATTCAACTTGTTTATGTAATTTTTCAATAAAAAATCAATTTATGTAAATTCGAATGTATTCGAAATAATAACACTTTTGCAATCTAAACTAGAAAGCATAAAAGAGAACCATGATATTTACATGAGTTTCCTATGTAGAATTCTCATTCGTATTCGATTCAATTACACATCACGAACAAAATGCGACGTCAATGTAAGTGTAAAGCAAATTGCAGAGTTTAAAAAAAGGTCTCAAGGAAACCTGAACGAGGCAACATAAACACTCACCTTAGGGGTGATAAGCTGACCAAGTCACTCACAGGTTCCACTTAGGGGTGTAAGCAATTCAATTTTATCGATTTTTGACAAATTTTCAAATCAAACCGTTTTAACCAGTTTGAGAAAAACTCAGACCTAAACCAAACTGTTTTGACCGGTTTGAAAAAAATTCAAACATAAACCTAATGATTTGGTCCGGTTTTAAACCGTCGGTTTGACGTATATTTTTTTGCCAGTGTAGTGTCTACTTTTATGCCATTAATTTAATATATATTTATATCTTACTGACAATAAATCTAAAATAAACTAAATATATCTCTATGAATTTAAATACCAATAAAATCAAAGTAAAATCACAATAAACTAAAATCACAGTTATATAATTCTAGAGATAACTTAGACGGTTTCTATGTTCAATAATTAAGAACACGCAGCTATGTAACTAAAATCACAGAATTTCGAAAATAGAAATAATCCACAAGTCACAAAGAATCACGAATTTGAGAATTTTCAAGAATCGAGATGACAAACTATGTTTAGTAATAACTTAGACGGTTTCCATGTTCAAGAAT